CAGATTAAGCCTAAGCCTAGTTGAAAAAGAATGTTCAATGGTGATTCACCATTGATACTGCAATTTTGTCCAACAGTAGTCTTGATCCATGTATAGGTAACCAGTGCAAAGTATGGATTTTTTCATGTGAGGATCAATTCTCAAAAAGAAACATGGATCAAACCACTCAAAATTACACTTAAAAAATACTCTCACAAACAACTGGAGACTGAAACCCATTCATATTTGTCCTCAGAGGAGACTGTTAGCAAAGTCTGTGTGTTTAAAAGGGGGGGGCTTGTGTTTTGCTTCTAGCCCACTGTGCATGGACCACCTGCATGTCACCACTGTTCATATTCATGTGGCGGAATTAGGATTCCTAGCTAAAATGGCATGGAACAAAATGACATTCAACTGATAATCAACAACTAAGACAAAATTAACAGCCGTGTTCGGTAAACCAAATTTTATTATGGAAAGGAGGTGTCTGTGAATCTTACAAGGAGCTTGTGTGACCAAATACTGATGAGTGTACTTTGGAAAGAGACCTAATAGCCCTTATATTGTCCTCTTTGGGCTCTTCAAAAAAGCAGGATTGTTGGAATCAGTATAAGCAGATCAAACCATGTCCAGCAGACAAAAATCTTTGAAATGCTGTTCAAAAAAAAAAAAAATTCCCCAAAACAAAAAAGAAAACCCAACATGGTAACTTTACAGGAGAAGACAAAAATGGTCTTAAGTTTCAAAGTCAATTCATAAAGATTTTAATCAAAGTGATTTGAGAGCTTTTATATTGATCCATTCATTGAAATTTTATGAAGTGATGGACTGCTGCCATGTTCAAATAATGTAGAAAAACGAAAAACTGGCAATGCGTTTTTTTTGTTTTTTTTTGTGGACAGCAATAAAATGTTAGGCCGATATCCAATGCAAGAGAGCTGCAAGCTGCATGTCTTCTAAGCATCTTTCAGAATGCTCATGATTTTGGCCTATAAATTCACTCAGGAGTTCTTACTCTCAAATGTGTAAAACCACATGATTTTAATTTATACTAGATTAAAACACAGCTTTTATTGGTAGTCACAAAAAAATACAGCACATCCCATGTCCTACCTAAAAAAACAGATCTATCAAACGGAGATTTGATGCTGGCCACTTTACTTGGAATTTCTCCCGAAAACTCACATATTCTTTTAGTAGTAGTATCTGAATGAGGTCCTGGAGATATACCACCCTGCAGAGTTTACTTCAACCCTAATCTAACACACCTGATCCCGGTAATGAAGACCTTCAGAGGCCTCTGAATATTAGTAGCAGGTGTGTTGGGTCTGAACTCTCCAGCACCAGTACTGGGCCCCCCTGATCTAAACCCTGCCTAAAACCTCATGCCACTGGTGGTGGTGTCAGCGTAAGATCTCTATTAGTTGCCCCAAATGTAATATTAGGATCTTATGACTGGGTTTCTCAAGATAAGGAGGTGGTGATGGTGGGGACATGCAGCATGTCAACTTCAGTTTGAGGGTATTTATGTCTACAGTGCTGTGAAAAAGTATTTGCCCCTCACCTGATTTCTTCTCTTTTTGCTAATTTGTCACATTTAAATGTTTCCGATCATTCAACTGATTTTAATATAAGATAAAAACAACACAAGCAAACACAAAATGCAGCTTTTAAATGATCATTCCATTCATTGAAGATAAAAATTTATTCAAAACCTATATCAGCCATGTGAAAAAGTAATTGCCCCCTATACCTAATAACTGGTTGTGCCACACTTGGCAGTAACAACTGCAATCAAATGATGGCAATAACTTGCGATAAGTCTTTACAATAATTTTTTGACGTAATGATCTTTTGGTTCACTTTTCTTTGTAGAACTATTTTAATTTGGCTACATTGGAGGGTTGTCGAGAATAAACCAACCATTTATGGCCTTGAGATGGGATTCAAGTCAGGACTTTGACTTGGCCTCTCCAAAACCTTAATTTTGTTTCTTTTGAGTCATTGAGAGGTAAACTTGCTTGTGTGTTTTAGATCATTGTCCTGCTGCATAACCCAAATGCGCTTGAGCTTTAGGTCATAAACTGACAGGCAGACATTCTCCTTCAGGATTTTCCGATGGAACCATTAATTCTGTTCTCTATCAACTATGACAAGTCGTCCAGGTCCTGCAGAAGCAAAGCAGCCGCAGACCATCGCACTACCACCACGTTTGACTGTTGGTATGATGTTTATATGGTGGAATGCAGTGCCAGCCTTACGCCAAATGTAACGGGACCCGTGTCTTCGAAAAAGTTCTAGCTTTGACTTATTAGTCCACAGAATATATCCCAAAAGTCTGGGGTGGCATCTAGATGTTGACAAATATGAGACGAGTTTTCGTGTTTGTTTTTGGTCAGCAGTGATTTGCACCTTGCAACTCTCCCATTAATGCCGTTTTCCCCCTGCGTCTTTTCTATTGTGGAATCATGTACATTGACTGAGGCAAGTAAGGCCTTTTTCTGGGTTCTTTTGTGACCTGGTTGAGTCGTCAATGCACTTAGGGTGAAATTTTGGTAGGCTGGCCACTCCTGGGAAGTTTCACCACTGTTCCAAGTTTTCTCCATTTGAGGATAACGGCTCTCACTGTGGTTCGCTGGAGTCCCAGAGCCTTAGCAATGGGTTTGCAACCTTTTCCAGACTGGTAGATTTCAGTGACTTTGTTTTGCATCTGTATTTGAATCTCTTTAGAATGTGTCATTGTGTGCTGCTTTTTTGCATGTGATGCCACATTCTGCTTTACATTGCCAGACAGCTTCTATTTAAGTGATGTTTAGATTCAAAATGTCTGGCAGTAATCACATCTGGGTATGGCTAGTGAAACTAAACCGAATAGTCAATTGAATTTGTCCAGTTTGTTGATTTAGTAGCTAAGGGGACAATTTCTGTTTCATACAGGGCCAGGTAGGGCTGAACAGCATTTTTCCTTCAATAAATGAAATAATCATTTAAAAACAGCATTTTGTGGTTACTTGGGTTATCTTTGTCTAATATTAAAAGTAGCTTGATGATAACAAACACTAAAGTGTGACACATCTGCAAAAATAGAAGAAATACTTCTTCACAGCACTGTATATTAGGTGAACCACATATGAATCAGTCTGTTTTATTAGCATTGTAGTACTTGAGTCCAGTACTGAGAGCATAAGTGAACTGTCTCTGTCTCAACAGAATTTTGTTTCAGGGTAAAGTGGACTCGTGCAGTGCCTCGTCTGAGGTAACTGGAAATGGAACTATTTTTCTATCATTACTGAATATCAAACCTTTCCAAACAGAATACAACAGTCCTTTTTTTACAGATTTAAATAAAATCTGTTCTGGGGTGGTTGATGGTTTAACTGGCTATTACTTGTTTGTTGATTCAACCATCTCCTGAGCGCTGATCATAATGTTATTATTTTTGCTTTCATTTAATAATAAAAATGGCTGTATGCTGGTTGTTTGGTTTATATTCAATTGACCTTAGGTTGTGATTCTGAACAACCTCACTGTCATTTACTTCCAAAAGTTATAATGCAAAGCTAGACTAGACTATAATAATAATTAATATTACTTTTAGGCTACATATTGTTATATTTTACAATATATATTATAAAACATAGTATTAACTTTTTATATTGAAAGGGCTTGACTTTGGGTGGAAGTTATCTAGCTAAACTGAAAAATCCTGCTTTGTGGAATGCCCCCTTGTCTCATTCTTGACTCTGATTCGCCTCTAGCGGTCTTCACTACAACACTACTTTTTATACAAGGAAACAAAAGTTGAGTCACTCTTGCAATCCAAAAGTAACTGAAACTAAACTAACATATACAGTACAAAACCTAACATGAACCAATCCCCCAACACATCCTCCTTGCTTATTGTCTTTGGCACTGTATACTGTATTCCATAGGTATTAAATTGTTTTAAAAGGTCCACATTGTATCTGCACAGTGAACCCCAGCAGAGATCAGTTTCCCAGCGATCGAGTCTCTGTACATTCACCAAACCACTGCTTCTGAATTCAGTTCAGGCCTAATGCAAATAGACGCTAACTTTTTGGAATCTGTGGAATCTTTGTGTCCTTCGTACACGTTTTGCCAGAAAACATACACTAAAAAAATGTTCCCATATAATTTGGGAGACTTTAAGAGAAAATATTTGCAGAAAAGAAAACGACCTGAGCAGATTCCAGCTGCAGTTTGCTACATGTTAAGTAATAAAATACCTGAAGGCAAACAACCTGAAACATCTGACCAAGTTTGGTGGCTTTAGCTTAGAAGAGACTGAGGCAAAATTCCAACAAGGGTCGTTCTCAGTCAATACACGTGATTCATGTTCATAAACTGCATAGCCAGCCAATGCACAAAATGGAGCCTCAAATACTTGAGGAAAACGTTTGCTATGATGGTCCGCATAGTGTGTCACAGACTAAGTAAAGGATAAAAATTCCACAAATGCAAACAGACAATGTTACATTAATCCACTGCACTCCTGTTGTACTGCTTCACTGCAGTGTCATGAATATGTAAATGCAGACCAGCTAAGTACATCTACAGTGCATTCTAGAACCCATCCTAATCCTAATGCAGAGAATAGTTTGATGTGTTATTTCATTGTGATAAAACATTTTCTGATGCTACACTAAGGCACTTCCAATATGTTTAATTGGAGTTAGAACTAATCTCTGTACAATGATGGTGCTGCAGGAGCAGGGCTGGAGACACATGGGATTAACCACCATCCTCTGTAGTGAGTTGCGTCAGCACCACCCTGTGTCCAACAGTGGAACATGTGATCCAAGTTCAAGACCACTGCAATATGTAGCCTGTTGAGGTGTAAGGTATAAATTTATGCAAGAAAACAACACTATTCTGCACACTGTGTTGCTTCTGTATGTGTACAGCCCACAGTGATGTATGACATCTGCCCAAACAAGTGTATGCATGTGGATACAGTACAGAAACACCTCAGATCATAAGCTTTTTAAAGACAACGCAGATTTCCAACTCACCATGTGCCCAGTTTTATTTGATCTCATTACAGTGTTTAGTACAGCAACTTCAATCAATCCTGAACATCAAAATAATCAACAGGCTCTTCTTTACCATGCTTCACCCAGGCACTGCTACCATCAGCCCTGAAACAAACAAGTAACACATTTAGTCAAAATTACAACATATCGGAAACTAATTTTAGATCTTGAAAGATGCCATCATTGACACTGTTCTATAAAAACCTTTTAGGTCCATTTTATTGTGAAAAATTATTTCAATTTATTGAGTGTACCTTTTATGATAAAACTAATTGATCTAGAATCTGATTTTATTAATGTACATTCTAGAAACAACAACACATTAAAATAAAAGCCTTTGATGTATAATATAAACACAGCTTAAGTTTCAAAACGTATTCACTCCCCAGTCCGTACAGTCAATACATGGACCATTCTAAATTTTGTTCTGCAGTTAAACTGTTAAATAAATATTTTAAAGAAGTATTCAGACTTGACTCACTCAAAGCAAACAGATTTTAGTCTAAAGTCCAAGTCAGTTAAAAGTCCAAAAGGTGTTTTCTACTCTGACTTTGAACCAATTCGGTGGAATAAGACATACATAAGCTTAACTGTAAAACCAGCTCTTTTTGAAATAAATAATTTTATGATATTACAAAAACCAACAGACTACAGCAGTTCAGCTCTGCCTATTTATAATGAAGTTATAAGGAGAGTTTCAGCCTGGTCCACTTTTTGAAAAAAAGACAAAATTCAAGGCAGCCAATCAGAATGGAGGTCATTTACATAGATCAGTCATAAAAGTACAGTAACAAAAAAGCCTGTTTAACTCTAAGGGATAAAGAGAGACTGGCAAATGGTCATAGATAAATTAATTATGACTGGCACAAAAAATGGAGTGGACCTCGGGGACAAACAAAAAAAATGCAAGAACAATGGAGGATGAGGGCCCTTTAAACTACTATTTCATGGGTGATCTGTTAGAACAGTGACAATATCCATTGTTTAATAATCAAGAGTCATGCCATGATTTGACCACAGATCTCACTAACACAAATATGACATTGTGACTTACTTGCTGTTGTACTGTTTGATATGGGCAATGGGTGGTGGGGCCCTGGCAGCGGTCTCTCTCTCAATCAGTGCAATCAGAGTGGAGTTAGGGCAAACAGATTTCCCCCTGTAGAAAAAACCACCACAACTAACCTTGAGAACACAGCACAGAAGTGTTTACAGTATATCTGAATCAACTGATCTCTATACTCAACTGTTAGGCTAACTTCAATAAAAGAAAAAAGGCAATACAAATGGTCCTGCGCATTTTCATTAAAGTCAATGAATATGCACATAATGGAGAGGGCAATGTTAAAAAACAAACAAACAAAAAAAAAAATGCATACTAATGCCATGCATGTCAGCTTCAAGACTCAATTACAGAGTCACCATCAATTTCAATGTCAATCAATTCAAGTCAATGTTTTACACTGGCCATTTAACAATTCCATATTATTATTCAGGAATGAAAGTGCTGAAATTAGGCCATAATGTTCCAACCAACAGCTGTCCAACTGTGCCTTGTCTAGAGAGGTGACCCACATGCCCGTAAGCTAATTTGATACTTAATAATTTATTTCAGCAAATGATGTTTGAGCAACAGCTTACTGTGCCATTCATTTTACTGAAAAAAGAAAAAAAAAAACCAAAACTGGAAATTTGATTTCAGATGTCTTATATGATTTAATAATTCTCACAATTCTGATCGTAAAAAATCCAGTCAAGCTCCAAAGAAAAGTTTATCGCTGACCTGATGGCTGTAATGACTACGTTGCGCTTGGGTTCACTGTCGTAGCTGACGCTCTCCACACCATACACCTCTGCCAGCTCGTGGATGATTCGCCGCTGCTCGCGCTTCATGGGTGGGAAACAGTGACTTCTCTTTGGTTGTTTGCCCTGGAGAACATACACAACACACTAATTACATTCTGCAATGTAAAAAGCCGTAGCAAAAATTCAGAAGGGTCTCACTAGTGATTAATGTTTATTACCTTGTTTGCTAATTCAACCAGATTCCTGATCTCCTCCTCCACCTCACCGACGAACTTAAATTCTTTTCTGCATAGGAAGAACATCATTTTCAAAGAAAGTTGTTTTGGACTTTCAGAAGCCTTCAGGATTAATTCAGTTACCTTTAAGCATTGCAGATGCAGTAGTTACAGTACTTAATTTACATAGATAATTACATAGTCAATATTCCGAGCACTTCCACTTTCTCCCTGGAAGCTATCAGAATGTCACAACATACTGGAAATTTAGATTTTTAAAACTATGACAAGACTTTAACTGGTTTTAAACAACGCTGGTTTTTACACAGCACATCACATTGTTCCCCTAATGAAAAGGAGAATGTTGAACAAACCTGGCATCCTCTTTGAGAGAGTCACTGTATTTGCATGACGAGGATTTGGTGTTAAATGGATCAACTGACTGATCGACCTGCAGCGCTTCAGCCAGACGCCTGGAACAAAAAACAAGAAACCATGAATGCTTCTGAAAACCTGACCATATCAAGACACATGACCTCCCCACTAATATAACAATCTGATTAGAATACAATAATTAGTTAACAGTGTGGTACTTTGTATAACAAAAAAAACAAACAAAAAACAAAAACAAAAAAAACCAAAAAAACAAAAACAAAAACATGAACATGAAAAACACACTTGCACTAAGCTCACCGATTTCTCTCCAGTGTGGCACACTCTTGATCACATTCCAACCTGTAAAACACAGCAAAAGAATTAGTAGTCTTCAACGAGACAGGTGCCGTCATGGTTATTTTGCTGCCCCCTGCTGCCCACAGAAAATATTGCATCAATCTCACACAACAGGAGTGCTTTATAAAAGTGGCAGGAAATTTTCGCTACACAAATACAAATAACATCAATAAAACAAATAAACATCTTGGATATTACATGGCCTGTTTCTGCTCCTTCTTGGTGAGCTGAGCGATATCAACAGACTCTCCCAGCTGCATATCTGACAGCTTACTCGCCATGGCAATTGCTGCATATCTGCTGGCCAAACACAAACAGCAAATATATCTTTTGATACACTAACAAGTGCTTCTGTTTCATTTTCACTGCAGTAGTCATATTACCATATCCCCAGTCAGGGGTTATGAACACTCAGAGTTAGTTATGAGACACTATGACTGTGCCATGACTGGTATAACAGATCCTGCTAAATGTTACTCTGCTGATGCAGTGATGACCTACCAGGACTTTGAAGTACAGCATAGCAATATAACAATATTTATCATTAACGTTAACAAATAACAATTAACAAATTATGTCACAATCACAATAAGCTTTTTTCAGCATATCACGGATATCATTTGTACTGCATGTTTCATTATAAACAGAGCATCATTAGTGGTGTTTAATTGGTGTAAACATTAATATGTGGCACTACTGACTTTTGTCTGTTTCAACATATCACAAAAATACATTTTGATATCATGTAACATGTAACAATTTACTGAAGTGACATTTTTGCCATATTGCCCACCACTACACTAAAGTGCCCTGTTTAAATATGGCTCTATGTCTGAGCGGTGAGAATATATAGGCTAACGGTGCTACTGACCTCTGGTAAGAACTGGCTGCCTCTGTGCAGGGCATGGTCTCCTTTCTGCGGCCACAATCACACTGCATTGACACCTAGTAATAAAAAAATGCTTTGTTTCACCCTGGTAACCTTGACACAGAAAAACATTCTCTCCTGAAAAATAAATAAGCTGTTGGCATTGAAGCAAAAAACTGCCACATGAAAATGTACCTGTAAAAAATACATTTCTAAAAAAACAGGTATTCCTTGACACAAACACATGTTGACACATACAGTAGCCTCCCTAATACTGATAGTAATTATTAAGCACCTTTCTTTAATCACTGAGTGCTAACAGTCAGAAGATTCAGATGCGCAAAAGCAGGTAGAGGTCTGTACCTTTGCAGTGCAGGTGGTGTGTGGGCAGGGCGTGCCAGGGTGACATGGGGCATTACACGGATGCCCACATTCAGGCCTAGGGTGAGGACAAGGCTGCTTACACTCTCCCTCTGCATCGCACTCCCCACGATGGCATATCCTCTTACAGCGATGGAGGCCACAGGGCAACGGCTTATTGCACACCAAGCCACAGGAGATGTCTTGAAGGTGGCATGGGATATTACTTCTTTGCTGTCGGGAGTAAATGAGGAGGAAGAGGGGGAAACAAAAAAGAGAGAGTGAGAGAGAAAGAATGAAAGTCACAAAGAAGAGGCTGTGAGTTTATTAGACTGTCGATCTTTTCATTTTTAAAACAATTAAAGTGGCAGGGGGTAAAACTGGCAATTACCTTTTATTACAATTACAGTCTGGCTCTTTTTTAAAATCCAATACATAGCTCTCAAAATCTAGGTCAGTTTTTTGTGTCTAGATTGGACTACTTGATTTTGAAAAAGCACTGTAAATAAACAACGATCTGTCTATGGAATTTACATGATGTTTATGAAAGGGTGAATCAGATAGGTGCTCTGTTACCTCATGGTTACCCATGCACCATTTCTTAGTGAGGTAGGTACAGGGGGGACATCTCTCATCACTGTGGCAGGAGTGGAACACTGCAGGAGAAGTGTGTAAGTTCAAGATTATTACTCCCATTACATATAAACAGCCCTGTCAAGTTGGGGGACATTAGCTTTTCAAAGTAAAGTAGCATGGTTGCAATTGGTTAACATTAAACAGAAAATGGCTTAGATCTTGCCATTCCAGAACCTAAGGAACAACTGACAAAATCTCCTTTTGTGTGTGTTTTGTTTGTGTTTATATATTGCCTGTGCTGTGTATTTGAACATGAGTGTAAAATAAAACAAATTAAAAAAAAAAAATACAAGAACACCACACAAATATGATTCAGCTTGCACTGTATAGCAGCTGTGACTAGTATACAGGAGAATGAGGGGTGTGCTTTCAAGCTAACGTTGTGATAGGCCCAGTTTTTTATAGTCAACATAAAATTTAAAGATGTTAAAATGAATCAGCTCTGCCATTTCCCCCATTCCTTCTCACTCTTCATTCCTCCTGCTTCTTTTCTCTCCTCAATCCTAGGGTAGGAGTGTAGCAGTAGGAAGGGAGAGGGAGGACAGGAGCAGCAGTGAACGTTTCTGGATGCAGCCTAGGAGTCTTGGGTGATCCAATCATAAGTGGACAGCGCTACAGGTATGAATGGGATCTAATGGGTCTTGGAAGTTCACTGCAATCTTATCATCACCTTCAAAGGTGGTCACATAACATTTGTTGAGTGAACACGAAAGTGTCTGGATGTGTCCCTGACAACAACGAAGGGAGACGAAAGCAACTGTGTGGTTTCTTTCACTGTGCCCTCTCCTGTCCTGTTAGCATTTGTAACCACTGTACACGGTTCAATCATATGACTGTTAATATATTACGAACAGGGTTGAAGACACTGATGGCTTGAACAAGGTTTCTCCAAGCAGTGTATGTAAGAGACATTAACTCACTGATGACCTGAGTGACAAGAGTCACTGTTGTGTGTACCTGGGTGATCGCAGCTGTGCTGTCGAGTGCATGGCTTTTTGCACTCAGGTGGTTTGGTGCCACACGGAACAGGTGGATACATCACTGTTTCGCCACAGTAGCAGGCCAGCTCATCAAAACCTATGGAGTAAACAAATCACACAGAATGTGAGCATTTTTTCCCTACAAAACAGTATGCCCATTCCAAGCTAGAGAAAAAGGCCTCTGAGCACTAGGGTGCTGATGCTGTTATGGGGGGTTAAACACTCACTTGTCTGCCAGCAGGGTTGGCAGTTTCCACGGTGACAAATCTCCTGGCACCGGTGTTGACCACAGTTGAGTTTGTAGCCACAAATAAATGTGCATTTATGCTCAATATCCTGGTGTATATGAGAGAGACAGAGAGAAAGAATAAATACAGCTTCATTAGATCTGCTACAATTATGAACCTTCTAATGATGCCTGAATAGTCTGCCTACCACACAGCACAGCTCTCCACACTTGTGCCTGCCACAGGAACGCTTCTTACTGCAGCGTTTCTCACAGGTAAACATCAACTCTTCTGCAGATGGAAGAAATTAACATAAGTAACAAGATCAAGAGAATGCAACATTATTGCTGCTAAAGAAGACACTCTTTAGTAGCATCAAAAGTACAAAAAACAAACAAACAAAAAAATAAAATAACACTCCTCACCTTCCCTCTGAATTACAGCACATGGAACCTCCTGAGACAGAAAAAAAAATGTTTGTTCATTATGGGATAGGTAGTTCTGTGGATTTGTAATCTTTGTGGCAAATTATTACCACCTGCTAGTCATGTTAATTATGTACTGACTGACTAACCTTAGTCTTGCTGCCACATCTGCATTTAATAGTGGAGGTGAGAGAGCAGGGGCCACAGCTGCCCTCATGGCAAAGCTTATCACACAGATGGACCGTGTCTGAAAGAAAGAAGGAAAGAAAAAACAAATAATAAACTGATACATAGTCCACTGTAAGCAATGACGTCATTATCCCCCTGCATTTACAATATGGATATGATCTCTTTAATTTGAACTGTATATAGTACTGAAATCCTGAGTGCCATTGCAAAAATAAACAAATAAATTAAAAATAAAACAAAATATGCAAGAAGTGCAATTTTTAAAAATAATTTTTTGTAATAATTTAACATTCCCTTGTAATAGTTTTCTATTCCTTCACAGAAGTTTTGCACTCCCTTGCAAAATCTGTTGTATTTGCAGTCCCTTACGGACTCCATTATATCTGTAATAAATCTTTAGGGAATGAATGGATGAAGATTCCCAGTGGCACACATCTCTGATCCCTTAGCAATCTATACTTTTCCTAAAATCCAGTGTTAGCTTTGTAATGCCCCAAAAGCACTGAGGTCCTGGGCTCTTTCCAAACACATACACATACATACAAACACTCACCAGCGTCACCGCAGGGTAGTGGTTTGCTGCAGATTTTGCCACAAGAGGGTATGGGGTCAGTGCAGCACCTTCTCTCTGGATAGCCGAGCTCCAGCAGCTTAGCCAGGGCTGTCTGTTCACAGGGGCAGCTGCGCACAAGCTTGGGCGAGAGAGCGCACGGCTGGCACTGGCCTGGGTGGCATGTCTGCTGGCAACGGTGGGCCTGGCACTCCAGCATCCTAAAGATACAGACACACAGAATATCATCTTTGAACTAATGAGCATATACCAAGAGTCTGGTGATTTTCTTGCTCCTTCTATGAGTATAATCTCTATAAACTTGAGGTTTGTAGACACCAAGAGTTTTAGTCAATGGTATTAATACGGAGTTTGTCTTGACTTTGCTGCAGTAACAGTCTCTGTTCTTTTGGAAAGGCTCTACATGAGATGTTGGAACATTCCTGTGAGGATTTAATTGCCTTCAGCCAAAAGAGCATTAGTGAGGACAGCTACTGATGTTGGATGATTAGTTCTGGATCACAAACACCACTCCAACTCATCCCAAAGGCAAAGGTTAGAGCTCCATCACTTCAGAGAACACAGTTTTACTGCTCAATAGCCCAATCCTGGGGTCTTTATGCCCCTATAGCTGACACTTTGTATTAGGCATGGTTATCTTGGGCTCACGTAAGGCTGCTCCAGACTGTACACATGACTGAACACATGTGCCAGCAATGAGAACAACTTAAAGTAGCTGAGTTTACCACTTAGTGACAAACTGGTTACCTTGCCAGTAAACAAATAAATAAATAAAAATATTAATCACATCCTTAGAACTTACTTCCCACACTGTTTGTTGCAAGAGAAATATCCAGTTCCATCAAAGCTGTTACGGTCAGTACCACACGGCACCTCCCTGTGTACCACCCCACAGAAGCACACTGCAGAGCACATGGGGTCAAAGTGGATTTGTGAGCTATGACAATGGATCTAGTAACTCAACATGTACAGTAGTGGAATCATGATTTAAGAAATGGTTTAGTCCCTACTTTGTCTCCTCAGTCTCATATTTAAATAAATTATATATTAGTTACGATTTATAGCAGTTTCAGAATTCTGCATCTCAAGACTGATAACTGTATAATAATTTAATGAATCAATTACATGAGTCACGTGAGCATACAGTGCCTTACAAAAGTATTCACCTTCCCTGGTGTTTTTCCTGTCTTGCATTACAATCTGGCATTCAAATGGATGTTGATTTGATTTACACAGCATGCCTACCATTTTGAAGGTGCAAAATAATAATTAAGACAAAAAACAGAAATCTTGAGGGCGCGTAAGTATTCACCCCCTCCAAAGTCAATACTTTGTAGAGACACCATTTGCTGCAATTACAGTAGGTAAACTTTTCCTTTTACTCAGACTGTATAGATATGGTAGTGTGTTTTTATACTATAACAGTTTTCCTAACATTAGATTTTAAAAATCGCAATATTTTGCCTTGCTTACAGTACGGCAATATATTGAATTGTAACATCTGTATCTTGATTGTATTATCAGGTAATATATATATATATATATATATATATATATATATATATATATATATATATATATATATATATATATGTGTATGTATGTATGTATGTATGTATGTATGTATGTGTGTGCACGTGTGTAAAAATCAACAATGTATTTTTTTCATTTCACTTAAATCTTAATTATAATTAATTTTAAATATAGATTGTAACAAAACAGGAAAAACACTACTAAGGACAGTAAACACTTCCACATGGCACTGTATGTCCAAGTTAGCAAATTCACAGATAGTAATTCTAATTCCAACACATAAACTCCCCTGTCAGACATCATTACCTTGCTGGACACGGAGCTGGCAGGGTTGGCACTGACCCTGGTGGCAAATCTGGGAACAACGGTGTTCTGCACAGTTCAGCAAAGCATCACACACCTGTTCACAACGCAGAGATTCTGTCTGACTGCAGCGCACCTGTTTACTACACACAAACACACAGTCAAAAATTAATGTGCTGCTTTGGTTGAACAACAGTGTATTTGTAGCTGCAAAGTAAAGCACCTTGTTCTTCCACAAATGCAGGATTTTGTAACAAACGCTGGACACTGTGGACAGGGTCCTGGGTGGCATAGGCTGTAAATAAAAAATATAATAAATAAATCAAATAAACAGCAGCATTATGTCCTCCTTAATAGGAAAATACAATGACTTTCTGCATAATTAAACTGTTCAAATTGAAACAAAGCCATTTAAAGTGGTTTGATCTGAAATGTGAAATTCTAGAGAAATTTATCCACTCAGATTTCTTTACAATGGTGGTGACAGGAACCAGTCTTCTGAAGTTTTATGTGTAACGTTGATAATAGTAAAATGGTTGAAAAAGGCAAAAAGCTTATCTAAAACTTTCGTAAAACAATGTCTCAGGCATCAGGCAATATATTCATAATGATTTTATGTAACAGCCTTCTGTGAGGTAGTTGTTAGAGCCAATAAATACTTTGGACGTCTGATTCCCATCACCACCACTGTGAACAACTCTGACTCTGGTTTCTCCATGTGTCTCTAAAATGGCGCCACTCTGATCGACTTTTGCAACAAAATTTAGAAAACCTACATTTTTGGTTTTAATTCTTACAACCTAATTAAAATTTACTAAATACTGACAGAACCTGCTACTGTATGTGCAAATATCTTCTTGGCAGTAATGATTAAAAGATTATGAGATTATGTGTTGGTTGTGTCAGTGTAGTCCTACATGTTGCAGGGGTGATTGCAGTCTCTTCCAGTTCTCTTCTTTCCACACATATCACCACAGCTGTGTGGAATCTCACTGCGCTGATACTCCGGATTGGTCACCTTCCCTTTCAGTTACACAAACAAACATATAAATAAATGGGTCAGGACCACAGTGTAGTGTAGACCGCAGCTTTGAAAGAGCTATAGGACACAAACAAAATTTTACAGGGCTCGTCATATCATGTAAAAACTGATTTTTCTTACTTTTTTTTTTTCATAAAATGTAAAAACTGTTACATTTTAAAATGTACCATCCTCTCCTCTGTCCATATATAGAAACTAAGTTGCAAAAACAGCTCAAATCTAATTAATTATTTCAGTGATGTCACAAAAACCAACACATTAGCATGTATACATCAGCCTTGGCAGCATACAGCAGTTTAGCTCCACCCATCCACACTGAAGTTTTAAGAAATGTATCAGCTTGAACTGATTTTCAAATAATACACAATACAGGACACCCAAAAACAGCCAGATTAATTATAAGGAATAAGTAGAAGTTGAAAAATGGTCATGCAAAAAAGGAATACATAGCATATTAGCCCTTTAATGTATTTCTAAATGAACAGTGAATGGAGTGTGTCATTTACCACAGAAGCAAGTGTAGGAGGTCGGGGCCTTGAATGTCACATTTTGGCAAGCAGGACAACGCCAGCCCTCACCTCCATCTGTAAAACATAGGCACTGTGATAAACAGACATACATTTAGGTTTATATCAGGAAAACATCCTATGAAACTTCTACAACTGCTCAACTTAAATGTACAAAGTCTATTTGAGCACAAACATCCACATGTTTACAGGAAAGACGTAGGGTGTTATGTTGTGCTGTAGCTTGTTTTAACACTCTACCATCGGCCTGAGAGGCAGGGGAGCGAGCCCACTTCTTGATGCAGTTCAGGTGGAAGACGTGGAAGCAGCTTTGACAGCTCCAAACTGGTGCCATGACACGAATCACGTCACAGCAGACCATACACTCGTACTTCTCTTCAGTCAGCTGCTCGATCAGACAACCTGAACACACACACAAGCAATAATGTTCCAGTACACCGACTGTGACAGGAAATTATTAATGAATATCATTTTTTTAGCTTTCTTTTTAAATTTCTTACTTTAGTTTTTCTAAATTTCTGCATAATTAATTTATTAAGGCTTAAACAAAATTGGAATTGTTCACAGTGGTGTTTATAGAAATCAAAACATCTCAGAAGACCTGAGTGGATAAAGTTTATTATTGATGGCAGCGTCCCAGCTACAACACAGGAACGGCAACAAATTTCTTTTTAAAAGAGGGATCAATGCCAACTGTCCATGGCAAAACTGCAGACAAAGGATATAGAAGTATTTAAAAAACAATCATGCTATGTGTTTATTTGGCTGCTTAGAACTAGCTAAAGGTAACAGCTGAGCTAATACATTTATATAGATGCAATTTTCTTAAACGTTTTTGCCGTTACTTGCTGCAGACTCTACAATAACGTTAATGCTATTAGTCGGTTAGTTGAAGGTCTCAAAGATGAACTGCATTTTATCAACACGAATAACATGAGAGTAAAATGAGAGAACGGGTGCAGATGTCTCCAGAGTGTTTCTTGCTGTCGATTTTATAGAGATTTACAAGACAGTCATTTCATTTAGCCCCCAGGGAAGTGTGTTAATTTGTGGAAAAGGGGTATAATGTCACCATTAATGCCTCTAAATTCTACCTTACAGAAAATTATTACATGAAATGGTTACAAATACACCACCTGCTGTCTGATAAATTGCTTTAAAATAGTTTTGCAAGAAGAAATTTGGGCTAAAACTAATTTTTGAATACAATCATGGCAGAGAAGTACACACAGAACTTTGTAAAATAGCAAAACAGTAAAATAATATCACCCCCCCTAAAAAAAAAGTCATGTGAATACATGTAAAAAACACTGTTTTAAATTTATTCACATTGCATATAAAATCTCACAAGTCTCCAGCAGGCTCACTGGTGGTTTTCAGATAGCATATAAAATGGCTGTATTTGTGTTGTAGACATTCTGACCCCTGGTTCCTATCACCACTACTGGAATGAAAGTTTCAGTTTTGGTTACCGCACAATTGTATGTGTGCTATTTCACAGCTTTGATTTTCTCACTATCGTTCTAAAATGTGGAAACCAGTAAGAATAAGAAAAATCCTTCTGGTAGTAGCTGTGTCCAAACCTTTAACAGGTGGTGTACGTAATAAAAGAAGGGAAGCCTGATATTATGCTGAAAGATATTCTGAACAATAAAATCTCTCTCTCTCTCTCACCTGTCTGAGTCTCTTTACTTTTGGGGACCTCCAATTGTTTCAATGGCCCAGTCCTTCTCTCGGCTCCTCCTGCTCTCCTCTGTTCTTGCATTCGGGGCCTTTTCCCCTGATCCCTTCCACTTCCGCCTCTCCGAAAAGCTTCCACTTTGCCTCCTCTGCTCTCTTCTTCTCTCTGTTCTCCCTCCTCTCCTCCTGTGTGGGGCATTTCCCTCTCTCTCCAGTTGCTGTGGTCACTAGGACGGAGGGCAGGGCCTTTCTTTCTGGGGTGTGGCTGCCTTCCTCCTCCTCCCCCTCCTCCTCCTCTCCATCTGTTCTGGTTCCTCTGCTCATGCTCTGGTTCCAGATGTTCAACGGATGCTTGACTGGCTACTGAATCTGCAGCTGCTGCACAACTCTCCTGGTTTGTCTCCTTGTATTTGGATAATGGCTCCCTTACTCTCTCTCCTCTGCCTCTCCTGGACCTTTTTGGCCAATGATCTCTTTGATCAACTTGGGACTCTACCATGTAGGTCCCTCTAGGAGGCCCCTGCTGATTTTCCACATTTGTAGGTCTATAAGCAGGTGGGGTGCTGGGTCTTTGGCCCTGATTTGACCCATGGTCCCATCCTGAGTGGCCATTATCATTTCCAGCCCTTGACCATCTTGGACCCTGTTTCCAACGTTCATTATTGCGGTTGTTGTCGCTGCCTCCACGCCCTCCTCTTCCCCTCCCTCCTCTTATGTCATGCCTGGTAGATAAGTTGTCATGTGGAACAGCAGCACTGTCATGAGATTCTTGAGGTTCCTTTGCATAACTCACTGGATTAGAGTGTCCTGACCTTGGATGGGGTCTGTCATGACCTCCCCATCTGTGATTGCGATCCGGCCGTGGTCGGCCTCTCCTGGAAGCCGGCTGGCTGGGTCTTCCTGCTGCAGAATCAGGACCTGATGTCGCAGATGCTGCACTCAAGTTGACAGAGTCTAGAAAGAAAAAAAAAGAAAAAGAAATCAGTTAGCATAACACTCACAGGTTGTTCATGCACTTTCAGTATAGCTTGTCTAATATGTGGATTTATCTTTACCACAGACTAGGACTGCACTGTATAGTTTGTTAATTGTTAACACAATACTGGACTTTAGAACAATGATATTGCAGAAGGTTCAAATATGCAAAGGACCACTTTAACTCCTGTGATCATCCTGATCATCCTGAGCATCTACATGTAAATAAGTGGGGGGGGGTAACGATACGCTCAACCCACAATTTAAGGTTTGGTGCTTTGCACATCTTGAACATAAATGTTGATAACTTAATAAAAGTGTTCACTGAGGTGCTCAAAGAACACAATGGTATTACAGGGGCTTAGCCAAAGTGTTTTGGGGGGTGGGGGGGGGTGTTGAGGGCTGTTGAGGAGGTTCATTTCACCCCAAACCCAAAAAACAATATTTTATAATAATAATAATAATAATAATAATAACAATATTTTGAAAATGAACGTTTCTCTATAAATTTATAATCAATCTATATATAAATCTATAAATTAAATTCCTCATTAATAGAATAGCCAAAATAACGCTGTTGAAAACGTATAGGATACCAGATGAAATGTATCAGATAAAATGGATTAAGAACATATCTTTGAGCAAAAATGGATTTGTTTTGAATCTGCACTCTGAGGAAGTCAAGAAGTCCTGTGATAACATCTCACTGTAGAAGTCACTGAAATGCACACAGAATAATAAAAATAAAGTAAGTTATATTACAGTGAAATAATCTGTAGTCTATACATCTTGTTTGGTTTATTTTGAGATATTCTTAAAAGAGGGACAATGCAAACTATGTAGCGGATAGTGGAGGTGCTGGACAAAGGCAAGAAGGAAAGCTGGCCTGCTTAACTACTGTGGTTAATAATGAAATAGCTGCATCAGGTCAACTTGCTGACCTAAGATATCCAGTGTTTGTAATTGAAGTGAAATTTTTTTTTCAAAGTTTTTTTTCCCAGTTTTTCAAAATGTCTGTATAATTAAATGGTTAAAATTATTGAGAGTGGCTACATTTGTGTGGTAAACATGGCAATCCCTGGTTCTTGTCATCACCACTGCGATATCTGAATTGGTAAATTTCTCTACAATTAACAATTTAACATGAAACCACTCTGAATGACTTTGTTTACATCTGAACAACTGGATTATACAAACATTTTTTTAAACGTAGAATTTTAAAAAATTTTAAAACTTTAAAAATGTAAACTTTCTGGGTAAAAGACCCCTCACACACACACACACTTCTAGGAGTCTGCCCAAGCCCCTGCACTAGATCACATTAGTAACAAAACGCCAGTTCTCCTCTATGCACTTTGGCTCGGAAGATCCCGTTTGACATGCTAAGGTGGCACAGTGATTGTTTTTTAATATGACATGTGGCCACAAGCTGAGTTTAAGTAATTCGTGGCCTCAATATAGTAAATTGTGGCTATGTCTTACTAAAAAATAATCACAGGTGTCACCTTAAGGGCTTTATACTTAAGTGCTTCGTGAACTTCTTATTTTTAGAGAGAGCTCATCATTTTATCCTGTTATTTTTTTTACATTTCACCCTGACATCAGCAGTTAGGCCGAACGCTTAAAACAACTGCTACATACGCAGTAACTGTCACACTGAAGCCCTTTGAACGGACAGCGTTAGCAGTTTAGTTGTACTGAAATGACGTTATAAGCCTAAAAGCTAGTTTCACAAACTCGTTAGACTTCGTATGAGTTCGTTTAGTTTCTGCTTCACTTTGACAATGAATGGCAGCAGCTTTAACTGACATTCCACTGAAATATAATAATGTGAAGCTACTGAAAAATAACGTTTTTAAACCAAATAAGACTTCTGTCATCTACCTTAACTACATAGCCAGCACTGAAAGAGAGATTTAGTTTTGCTAGCTATGTTTTTTTAACTAGTTTTTAGCGAACAAACTAGCCAATCCATTAGCATAGCAAACTGTTTTTGGCTTACTCGCAGCAGCTAACTTCGTTGGCATTTTCTTCTTAGCTACAAACGTTTGTGAAAACAGACTAACCGAGAAAATGCCATGTGTCTGCTCGTCAGCTAACGTAGTTAACCTAGCTAGCGTTAGCTAGGTTAAGTAACCTAACTTAGGTCTCTATATTAGCTGGCTAGCTAGCGTGCTAACAGCCACTGCGTTGCTGCTGCCTGTCACACCAAACTAGCTAACGACAGTCAGCCAAACATGTAGATAAAGTTAAAGTTTTAATGTTAAACCTGTAGCGTTACCTGTCACTGAGGCTTCAGCCATTCGGCTACATCAGAAAAAATCCCCCTCCGTCTGTTGTATACAGTGTCGTCCCGACTGGAACTGGAAATGAGAGACGAAAATAACAGTGAAGCAGGGCTAAAGAGGAACCTGCCAGCAGTAGAAGAAGAGCCGAGTGGAGGGGGGCGCTCATCCCAGCGAAGTCTGCTGAACAGCAGGACTGCACCAGAGTTCAGCCTCCTTACATGGAGTCTGATTTTTCTCCTGTATGGAGTGGTCATCGTGCACTGTCCCTTCTGCAAACAGTAAGTGACCAATGCTCAAAAAAAGCGCACGTGAATAACATGTAATACAGCGACTCAGCAGCAGATAGAAAGGCTATCCTGCTGAAAAAGATCAGGAGAACTTTTAATAAGTTCTATGATTTCTTTCCGCAGGGTACTTAGATAGACATGTGCTTCCCTACTGAAAAAAAAACAGCACAGACCCACACGAGGTCCACGCTGGTCTGTGCTGGTTTATGCTGGTCTTGTGTTGCTCTGATGCTGGTTTAGCTGGTCACCCAGCATGGCCATCCAAAACGAAAAGATTCCCAAGTGCCTGAACATTCCATAATAAGTACATTTGCACTGTCGTAAGTGCGTACAGATAGATTAGATTGCTGTGGAAACTGAATCAAACAAGCAGTTGATTGTCCTGCAAGACATGGAAGGAGAAGGGAAGAAAACATAAGTGTAGTTGTGGATTGACAGTGTTGGAGTGCTTATAAACTGTGTGAACATTTCATTGAGCGCAGGGATTTAGTAGTTACAGAGAATGAGAGTGGACCAAGAATTAACACCTGAGGAACACCACTTGTAAAAGTATGAGGTGCTCAGTCACCTTCCCCAGGCTACCTGAAATAACTGGCCTTGAAGAATAAATGATGGATGACCTGTAAACCTTTAAGAGAAAACATAGTTCCTGATGCCCCAGATTCAAAGTGATGGAATACGTATCTGGCCAACAAGAAACACAGAACAGGTTCTTTCAGAAACAGTGTGGAGGGTCCTACAGGACCACAACACTGAGTAATCAATATTTTCCCAGCTTTAAAACATGCTTTTCATCCTCTAATTGTCATGCTAGTCATCAGTTGAATCAAGAAGGTTGGAGCTGGGAAAATGCTAAAGTGTGGATTGTTGCAGTCCTATTGAACTGCAGTTTGAAAATACTGGTTTTGACTATGCTAGGGGTGCCCAATCCTAGTCGTGGAGATCTACCACCCAACAGAGCCTACCTCCAACCCTAATCTTGCACACCTGATCCAGGTAATTAAGGCCATCAGGACCATCTAAATATTTAGAGACAGGTGTTTAGGTCTGAACTTTCCATGGTGGTTGATCTCCAGGACGAGGATTGGGCACCTCTGGACTATAGTATTATATCTAAAATTCATACATACAATTTATGGTGTATATCATTTGGTATGAAGCATCCGTAAACACATTTACTACACAAATGTCTGTCAATCTGGGATCATGACCTATAAAAAATAAGAAATACCTGACTTTTTTGAGGGTTGCTCAGAAATTTTGTTCCATTAATAAACAGCTGTGGTTTAGATCGACAGAGCAGTTTCATTGATGCGATACCAAAGTGTGAATAGAAAAGGGTATGCTGGGAGACATTTTGACAGCCTGGAGAGAAGAGAACCTTGTTTAAACAACTTTATTACTTTAAAATGTAATCAAAATGACAGTAGTTACAGAGGAGCACGCAGAGTTACAGCGGCATGTCGTTCAGCAGCTCTCAGCGGGTCGTGACTCTCATGACATGATTATCAAAAATCCTAATGTGCCTCCAATTGAGAGCAAAGTCTGCCGATGAGCGCAAATATTGTCCTCGTCTGTCAACCATTTGTTGTTTTGTGATTATTTCACAAAATAGTCATCCACTTCAGGATTTAATGTCAGGTGCACTCACACACACACACACACACACACACACACACACACACTCACAGAGTTAAAGTTGGGTGGAATTAATCAGATGAGTTCAGTGAAAAAGGTGATAAACAAAAAATAAACAAAAACAAACAGCAATGACAATCGCAAAGCAGAGCAAGCTGACTTCGCAGATATTACATATTCTAGTAAAATGGGGATACAGTTTCCTCTGGTGGCTGTGGTTGACCATTAACAGGTGGTTCTGAATTTCATGGCTAAAAAAATATAGACCTATAGAATTTTTGTGGGCATCTGAACTCTTTTTGTTCACTGTTTTTATTTACAGACAACCTTTTGTTCTTCTGTTTTATTTTATGTAATTCAGACCCTCATATTCATTCCTGGACATAATTAGAGTCTGTGTGTGTGTGTGTGTGTGTGTGTGTGTGTGTGTGTGTGTGTGTGTGTGTATCAGAGAAAGATAATAAGGTAAACAGTAGTTCTGATGCAGCGATACCATCGGGGTCTTTGGTCTTGATAATACCCAAACACTTGCAAATTATTTCAATATGTATTAGTAGTATGTGCTATGACTATAGTTGATTATATGAATGAAGTGAGACGTATTAAAACTGTCACTTTACAGTTTATAATAAGATATTGCTATTGAAGATGACTGCAAAAATTATTGGAATTCAGTCCCCATTAGTACCTTGAAGTAGTAAAGCCTAAACTACACAAATGATCTTGAGGGCTTTTACAATCATCCAGTCCCTATAAACACTCCAGCAGTGTAATAAGAACACTGTTAGAATTCGGAAACATAATATTTCAACATCGCCAGGATTACATATGTATATACGTAGTTACACATGGACATATATCAAAGATATATTCTCACTGGAGTGGTCACTGGCACGTCTGTTTCAGGATATTATCTTGCATTAAAGCCTTTGAATATGAATGCAAAGTGGCGAAATTAGTCTCAAAACCTGTAACATCTGCAATAGGATGCAAAAAATGTCCAATCAGTGTCTCATATTACAAATGAACGCAGTCGGTCCAAAATGTAAATCAGAAAAAAAAGAAAAAAGGAAATGCATCCAAACATAAGATCACACACATTTATACACACACAGGACACAAAAGTACACAATCTCACAAGCGCCTGTCTTGTAACTTTTTGCATTAGTAACACAAAGAACTCCCAAACAAATAAAAAAATAATATATGTGCATTAAAAGGATCTGTGCAAAAATGTAAAATATGGTTCGGCTCTAGGCATGGAAAAGTTGAGCAGTACTGTACTGTTGGCAGATTGGATTGGTTACAGTAAGCAAACCTTTCCCAGTTGTAGCAGAAATTGAAAGCACAATATTTTTTTTTCGTAAGCAACTGCATTAAAAATGTAAGCAAGAAAATCTGTATACTAAAGTCTTCATACCTATTCCTCCAAAAACTGAAATACAAACTGAGAAATCAAAGAGAGAGGAAAAAAAAAACATCAATGTGAAAATATAACACCCAGAACCCCATTTCAAAGATATAGAAAGCTCTAAATATGTTCTCCTAACCATAAATTGGAGATGTACATCTCTGATTTGCCTTTTAAAGCGGTTTTTGGACATCGTCAAAAGATTTTCCTCGGTGGCGAAAGGAAAAGACGTATCCGATTGGAACATGATGCTTCAAACTGCGCTCCATTCATCTGCTCCAAGATCAGAATGTGTTCCAGTGGGATTGAGGCTTGGAGTGCGGTTCCTAGGTCAGATACCAGCCTGCAGTTCACAAATGAGGGCCAAACCTTCTTCGTCTGATCCAGTCGGGGCTCGTTTTTTATTCACGCTACTGAAACGGACTAATTGCTTCTGTCACTTCCTCAGGAACCATTTTAGCTCCATACTGTCGTTTCATATTTGGGGGGAAGATGAAACGGGGAAATTTCAGTTGTTAATTGGACAAGTGAATTTGAAGAGGAAGCAGGGCAGTGTGTGGGCTCGGAAGGTCAAATGTTGAGACCTCAGCACTGCTCGGACTCGATGAAGCCCTCCTTTTCCTGCCCGACAGGCTCCACCTCGGCGTATGCTGGATAACCTGAACCACGGCGGAACTTCATCGCAGGCCACCGGCTGGGCCGTCGCTGTAAAAAATACAAAAAAAAAGCCATTTAATAAGCAGCAGATGCTATCACAAATAATGTTATGGCAGTTACTTTTCTGCAGGCACCAAATGAAGGCACCAAATGAGTGCTGTATATCATGGAAGACTTGATTGATTTTATAAAATAGTTTTCCAAAGTAAACAATAAGGTAAAGCAAAGAAGCCTTGAACATTTTTTCAGTATCTGTTTTTTACTATTGACAATTCCTACAAGGCAAGTTTATTTATATAGCACCTTTAATACACTTCTGTTATTCAAAGTGCTTTACAAATGAGAAATGAGTCATTTAAAAAGTATATAATAGAAATTAAAAATGTGCTTAAACATGATTAAAACAACAGACTGTAAAAGAGAAAAATCATTACATTAAAAATTAGAAGAGGATAAGTAAAAATCAAGTTAGAAAATTAATTTAGGATAATAAAGTGCTGTTGCAGAGGAGAAAGGCTAGAAAAGCTAACAGTGATTTAAACTGAGCTGAAAGCTGCTCAAATAGGAACGTTTTAGGCCTGGATTTAACAGTGTCTATTGCTGGGGCTCTTCTAATGCTCTCTGTCAGCTGGTTCCATTTAAGAGCAGCATAGTAGCTTTAGCCAAAAAAGTCTCTGTAGCTTAGAGTAAAGGAGTCACTGCTGTAGAACGCTTCAGGCAGAACACTTTTCAACCATTCAGACACAATATCTGTTACACATAATGGCCCATTATATATTGCAGCAGAATTGCGCTTGATTGATCCATGGACTTTTACTATGTCTATAATCATATGGTTATATCATATATCATGGTTATACATGTATCTCCATTTTTGTCATTTTTTATTTTTCTACATTTAGTTATTATTAGGGATGCACAGAAAATTATTTTGGCACTAATTCCAATTTCTTTACAGCCAAATTTGCCAACGGCTGACTTTTGGCCGTTTTTCTCAAAGCTCACACTGTGTGGGCTATTGCACACATGAAACACACTAGCACATTTCCAGCACTTCAAAGTCACACTATAAAACTCACACTGTAAAAAAATAATATCAATATTTGCTCTTTAAAGTGCCAAATTGGCATTTTAAATTATTAAATGAAAAATCAATAAAGAGCCAGCTGGATATTTAGCTCAATAAGTTGTGCGTTATTATGCAACAACATTTTGGTACAGGTGTAGCAGCAGCACTCAGATACAGCATGACTGCACCTAAACTGCTCATGTTATTTACATCATAAAATTACAACACACTGGCCAGAATAATAAATTGGCAGACTGATGATGCATGTTTAGAGCACAGATCTCCTGTTTTTCATCTCAGCTGATTTTGATAATGCATTAGTTGTTACGGTTCAGATTTTGTTTATGTTTACTTTATATAGTTATTTATATGCTTAGATTTATATTTATTCTTATTCATGCTAAATGCTGCTAAATGTAAACAGAATATCTTTATAGTTTTAAATCCACCTATCTGTCTATCACCAACACATGCTGTTACATACTTTATTTATGTATATGGCATGGAAATGCTAAATGTTATGATAGGGCAGCCTTCATGTTAGATCTCCCACCTGTTTCAACACCAATTTTAACAAAGCCTCATCCACTCAGCCTCCATATCCCTCTGCGGGGATCCCCAATGCCATGTTAAGAGCTGTTCCATTACTTTATTAGCTCAAATGTAGTGTGTTAGATGAGCCCTCGGAGGGGTGAGGAATCGAGTGAACACAGTTGAGTGTTGACTTCAGCAGCAGAACTTGCCCATCTGACCTGATGCACTGCCCCAGTGATGCAGGACATAGGGGTGCTGAAAGAGCACCCAGATTTCAGGGTTGGTTAACTGTAGCTGCTAAAAATAACAAAAAAAGATCTGAACTTGAAACTACTTTGAATGTGGTAAAGACCTATATCTGCTTGTTTCAGAGGGGAGAGTGTATTTTTATGTTTTATTCATATATTTTAAAAACCTGCAGTAGCTATACTATTTACATTAAATGAATTGCTTCCCTCGCCCACTGCTAGCTGCTCTGGGGGTGCATCACTAAAAAAAAAGCAGGCTGAAGCACAAAGAGGGGAAAGTGTGTGCAGAGCCAAAATTGGCCTAACGTTGTGTTTTAAATCTAAGAATAAACAGTAACGTCCCGCGCTTCAAATACGCTTTTTTATCAATGGTTATATATCTCCTGCTTGGAGTGTGTATTTGCATGGCTAGCTGATTAGCTCACTGAGGCTAATCCGCCGACTATAAGTATGTTCCGTTTGACTAATCCGCTCCTTGATGTTCCCTTTCTCACTGCTGTGAGTGGCCACTTAGTAACATGACTGTGAAGCACATCTAAGTGGTGAGTGAAAACGGACAAGGGCAAATCAAAAAAACAGTATTGAAACGGCCCAGATAGCAAGAGGACAGTGGGGCCGCTGTTGGCCTGCTGACAGCAAAGCTGGTTATTATTCTTCTTCTGTAGCGTCTCTGCTCAGAGGATTCTTCCTACTGTTTAAAAACCTCAGTCTAATCTACGGTTCTGTGTTACGTTACTGAGAAAGACTGAATTTGAGGGTATATAGGCCTAAAGTTTTATCATAGAAACTAAGCAACACTATTTCTAGTCATTTTTTTCTATATTGTTTGTAAAATCTTTAGTTTATTTTTTCATAATAAAAGGCAATTTGTACTTAATAACTGTCTGAAGAGTTTTAAAACTAGTTAGACCTTGTACACAGTACAATAACCTAGATGGTCCAAGACTTGACCAGTAGTGGCATACAATGCCAACCTTATTGAGCAAGCAATCCGATACCTGCTCGCTATCTCGATTATACTTTTCTGGGCTAAATGAACTCTGCATTCTTGAAACAAGCCTTGACTACCAGAAACTACCTTATGAACGTCACTGCTCTATCATCCAGTCAATCCAAGTCTCAGCTTGCATGGGTAGGATTGCGTGTACTGATACTTACCCCTATACTGTGATTCAGTATCTGTGATATTAGCACATCAGATTCTGCCTAAGCTAAAGATTTAATTAAAACTTGACTTTCACTCTCAAACACCTGACTAACAATTCTCCAAAATCTCAAAAGCTATTGTTGAAAGTAGCAAAAATTATACTAACACAAATAGAGAGTCTGAATAACTGGGCTGCATAAACTCCACTCTGTAAGTCTGAGCTAGTTTGAGTTTGACTCTTAAAGCTGTTCTGTGTTTGTGTTTGATGGCGACCTTGACTAGCGAGCATTCATTACTTCAGCTGCCCAGAGAGCTGTTTACACATGCTCAGATCAAACCACTGTATTGTAGCTGAGGAGTAAAGCAGAAATAAAAGTGTTCATATGAGATGTGAATATTTATAGGAGATGTGAAGAATTATCATCACGGACCACATAGACTGAGGGGTAAGGTCAGTGTGAATGAAGAACAGTCCCACAGGCTTTAAAGAGATTCTCATTTAATTATACTGAACCACGCAGAAAGTTCAACGTAAGCCGAGCAGCAACAATCTGTCGACAATGTCAATCATGTTGATCATAAAAAAATGCTGACATGGATGTTTTATCGTCAGAGTGTTTACTTACTTGCAGTGTTCATTTGATATGTGCTATAATTATGACAGATTGCAGTCACTACAAGCCCCATAAAATGTCCCATAGAGGAAGAAATCACTTGTTGCAATTATGTTGTCACTACCCGATCTGCATCCCCTGTACTGTTCATGCACACTACTGTCACATATGCACAGAGCACACTGCTTTTACCTGCACCAGCCGGCACTACCTGTAGTGATCCCCTGCTCAGCTGGTCTACCTTGACATCATCTGATCTAGGTTATATCACTAGGTCCTATTTAGCCACTGCAATGATAGCCTCTCAGTGTAATGACAGCTTATTTAACACATGACAGCCCTCTATTGTAAAGTTGGCTATTTTATGTAATTTATGTGTAACATCCAGGGTGGCCAGCTGGAGCCAAACTTCACGTGGTTGGAGTGAGACTGGAGTGAGGTTTTTAATTTTGTATGCACAAGTGCGTATTCACTGTTACAATGCTTACGACAGTAATTTAAACCACAGCTCTTAGTCATTAGCACGTAGCACAGTAGTTCTTAAACCAGTCCTATGCTTTAAGCAAACAGGAAAGGCCTAGTCTTGTTAAAAGCCAGGCCTTTTAAATTATAGTTATTGTGATTGGCTGTTTATTTCTAAATACAGTCCTGAAATGATTTTTCTCATGCATTTTCCACTCATGATTTTGTCATGTAGAAGTAAAATAATGAGTAGTGAGAGAACTTTTTCTTGCAGGATGTATTAAGTAATCCCATTACAGCCGCTACGCTACGATACGAGCCAATGAGATAAACAAAAGAAATACAGAGAGGACATAAAAAATAGACATGATGTAAGTTTGTTCTGTGTTGGTTGATTGGCTTTAGATCTCTCTGTGCAGCGCGAGAGCTTGAGAAAAGACCCAAATTGTGAGTCTCACGCCAAATTGTGAGAGTGGGCAACCCTGAATATCTCCATATAAAATGAAGGTGGACTCCCACTATACATGCCACAGTCTTCATATAAAACAATGCTAGGTAGCTAACTGCCGCTGTCTAACCTTTGCCTCGCACACAAAGTCCCTCTAGTATCTAGTGTTTGATAGCATGCTAACGCAAGCCACCTATCATTTTCTAAATAGCAGTACTTCGGCACACACTTTCTTAGTAATGATTAAAGATTAAAAATCTGTTTCATCTGTGAAATTCGAGTAAGGTAACCATGTGGGTCATTTTAGCCAATCAAACAACGTCTTTGACTTAAGGCAGATCGGCTCAGGAGGGTGGACGGACCACACGGAGAAATGACAAAAGGCATAATGGTTCAGTTAGTTGATTAACAGAATAACAGTTAATAGGTTAATGAATTATATAAATCATCATTAATAGCTGTATAAAGTGTACAAACTGTACAAAGTAAGACTATCTATATTCATCTGTTGTCTTCTTTCATCTCACAAACCCCCTCAATCTTCTCCACCCCAACACACACACACACACACCTCAATGAAGAAGATGCCGGCGGCAGAGCTGGGACGGTGGTAAATGTAGACGGTCACCAGGACGACAGCCATCATCACCAGCATCAGCAGCAGCATTCCCAGAATCAGGCCTGTGTGAAGAGGGTGTGTGTCGCGCTCTGCTGTACTCTCTGCTGCCGCAGCTGTAAAACACACACACACACGTACACAGTTGAGATCACAGAATTGTACACAAATTCACATTACGGGTGGGCAATGTGTCAATATTTATCGTTATCATGATATATATGTCAGATATGTCACAAGATCACACAATACACTTTACTGAACGTATTGTGAATATCATTAGTACTTAAAGAACACTGACCAGCTGCACATTTTGTTGTAAATAGAGCATAATTAGCCCAGTGTAACCGTATTCAGCGCAGTGCAGTATGTGAAATGTTAAATAAAAAAAAAAGTTGTTGACAGTATTTTGAATACTGTCTGGCATTTCTGGTTTCTTTTGCCTTTTCCAACATATCAGAAGTTAGAAACAATTAATATTGTGACACATCACTCCACTCCACACCACTAATCCACATTCACTTTTGACTTTATGACATTTAGCACTTAAACAATGATATACGTTACAGTTTTCACTCACACATAGGCTACATACATTTCTCTCTTTCATTACATGCACACTCATGACCTGTCACACAGTTGTCACTCAACTATGCAGTAAGAAACTCAGTTATTCTCATACTTATATTTATTATGATTTAAATAGACATCAAGCTATTTATCCTTATCCTATCTATCCTTACAAGTTGCAGTTGTTACCAGCGATAAGAGAATCATAGTGTAATTAATATTAATGTTAATTATTTCTCACTTGCAGCTCATTGAAAAAAGCTTAAACATCCTACCAAGACTGTAGATTTTGTTTGTAGGTAAAAGAAAAGTTTATTATGATTTGAATTTTATGAAAAGTTGAAGTGAAAAAAGTTTCTTTACATTTTTGTTTGTTTTGTCACTTTGTGACATTGAAATAAAATGGAAAAAGTCAGACGTGCAGACTGGAACCTGATGAAACAACATATAAAATGAATCTAACTGTAATTCATTGTGTAGAACTCAACGTAAATAACTTCTCAAATGGCCAGGACTTGCTGTTGGGTCTAAATTTCAGCTATATTCTCCTATAACTTAAGAATAACTCAGCTAGCTTGCATTGCAGTCCATGTAGTTACTGAATAATAAGCCTTAGGATGTAATAAGACTGATTTTAAGGGGTAAATATGTCAATACATAATTCCATTTGAATAATATAGCAAAGCTAAAGTAATAACTCTCTACAGGGTTAAAGCAGCATGTTCTATACACTATGCCAGTGGTTTTCTATGCTGGTTCTGGAATGAGAACATTTTAGTGTTCTCCTGCTCCAACACACACACTTCATCTCTGGAAGGGCTTCTTATTGAGCTGATTAGAGGATCAGGTGTGTTAAAGCAGAGAAAATACCAAAATATGCAGGACAGTGCCTGTAAACAGAAGGGGGCAGTGTTTAGCCATCTCCACTCTTTGTCCATTTCTCAGCAGAAATATTGTGCGGATCTCTATCTCGGTGATCATTTCTCAGCAGAGCTATTGTGTGGCCTGCCTCATGGACGGAGACTGACTGATAGTGAAAGGTTAAGGTTGTACAGCTTGATTTGTTATGTCTTTAAGGACACTGCTGGCAAGCTTCTCTGGCACCAATGACCTTGCCGACATTGATTTCCTGTATTTTGACACCATTTTGAGGTCCAGCCAACCACAAACTACTGCTTAAAAATAGAAGAAGAGGAATGCTGATTTTAGCTGATAATAGCTATTAAATCCAGTAGTCAAAAAGAAGAAAAATATGAATGCTTGAGCTCTCAACATCTGCGTCCTATCACCACTAATATGTGTGACAGACGTCAGTGATAAAAACCACAAGCCAAAGAAAAATTCCCCAAGTTAAAGGAAGCTGTAGCTCCCATTTAGCATCAGTGCTGCAGTTTATCTCTTTTCTGTAGACTTGAGTTAAAACAGTAAATTCAGGCTTCAAGACGACAGTTGCTGATGTTTTTAGCTATCTAACAGACTTTTGTTCATTTTGATAGATAACAGTGTGTCATACAGTGTTAGAAACCACAGATTTGGGCCTCTCACAATTATTACATGATCATCTGAATAAATATTTGAGCTGATTGCAATTATTTTCCACAGTTGTGAGCTTTCACAATCACTGAAATCATTGTTTGCAACAAACAGAACATGAATTGGGTGCATTTTCATCAGTTGGGTCAATCCAAGTTAGGAGGTACTAGTATAGACACCTAGGAGGCATGAAAGCTTATCACTCGTTGTACACAACAAAAAAGGACAATTCAGTTGTTGATTACAATTATTTATATGCAAGTTAATCGTCGACTTAAAGATACAGACCTAGATTTAGGCTTACAGTTTGCACAACTGCCCTACTGGTACTCTATATAAAGATGGTTCTTCATGGGTTCTTTAGTAAAGACAATGATTTTATATAGAACAATGAACACTCAAAGACTTGCATATATGTATAGAATCATATACAACACATTCTCTCAATTTCACCATGCAAAGAACCCTTTAAGCATGCAAATGGTTCTTTGAGTGTTCATGGTTCTATATAGAACCACTGTTTGTACTGAAGAACCCTTGAAGAACCATCTTTTTTAAGAGTGTAGGGTATAAACGTCCTAGCTCATCCACTATGTTTTGTGTAAACTGTTTGACTGATTTTTTTGCTAAACTATTCTTTTGAAGCACTGCATTTATGAAACACACTGAGAGGAACACGGTCACAGTGTAACAGCCTGTACTGGTGGATTGTTATCAGGCTGTCTGACTGAATGAATAATGTTCAGGTTCTGTTGCAACATGTTGACTGACCTCTTTAAATGAACAGCAGTCAGAATATTTGGCCTTTGTGTCGACTCTGGAGCACAACAGCTATAAAGCTTTTCCCTTTTCACTGACAGAACATTCTGCATTCAGCAGCCGCTCAGCACGAACAGAGCGCAGGGGGAGATTAGCATCGCTCCAGCCTAGCGTTTACACACACACACACACACTCACACACTCACACACACACACTCAAGTGCTGCCGTGTTTGGGCTTAAAAAGAGCCACTGCTGGGCTCGAGTGACAAACCTAACCTGAGGTTAACAACACGCTCACTACACTATCTTCCTTTCATTCTCTCTCTCTCTCTCTCTGTCTCTCTTTCTCTCTCTCTCAATCTTTCTCTGCCTATCTAATTTCATTCTATCTCTCTCCCTCACTCGCTCATTCTCTCAATCTTTTCCTCTCCCTATCTAATCTGAATATCTCTCTCTCCCTCTCTCATCCTCTCTCTCTCTTATTTTCCCTCCTTCTCTCATTCTCCCTCTCTCACTCAATCTTTTCCTCTGACTCTCTCTCCCTCACCCTCTCATTCTCTCCACACCATCTCTCTCCCTCATTTTCTCATTCTATCTCAATCTTTCTCTCCCTAACTAACCTCATTCTCTCTCTCTCTCACTCTCCCTCCCTCCCTCTCTCATTCTTACTCTCTCATTCTTTCCTTTCTCTCTCTTGCTCTCATTCTCTCCTCTCTATCTCTCCTTCTCTTTCCCTCACTCTCTTATTCTCTCCCTCTCCCTCATTCTCTCTCTCTCCTCTTCTCTCCCCGGCTCTCATTCTCTCTTGCAATTTCTCTCCTTCCCTCTCTTTCATTCTCTCTCTTTCATTTCTCTCATTCTCTCTCACACTGTCTCCCTCCTCTTCTCTCTCTGCCTCTTTCCATCACGCTCTGTCTCTCATTCTCTCTCACACACACATTCTCTCCTTCCCCTTCTCTCTCTCTCTCCTCTGCTCTTCTGTCTCTCACAGACACATGGGACTGAGCAGCACTGCTAACACCACACACAGAATTGTGTCTGGTGAAGATAAAGGTTGATGTGTTGTGAGTGAGAGGCTTGGAGACAGAAGCAGAGCGTGTGTGTGTGTCAGTGTGTTTCTCTCACCTTCAACAACAATTCAACAGCACACCTACATTTTCCTCTCTCTCTGATTCAGCTCGTGTGCTCAGATTTGTCTCTGAAAGGTGATCATGTACTGAGATGAATGTGCTCCAGATGAAAATCTACAAAGACATGCTCAACATGTGTGTAGTTTATGAACAGCTTACATTCTTTTTTAAACGTTCTCATTAAATACTGTTAGAATACCTGCGTATGAATGTATTCATAAGTGTGTTTGCGTGGAAGTGAAATGTACATGTATGTTCGTTTGAATGTATTTGCTGTTGTGATGGGCAGCCAAGACAGATTTCCCATAATGGAAGCTTACTCCACTGACCTGTCCATGCTCTGCGGAGCAGAGGGAGGCACAGAGACATACTTGCATCATTTATATATGTGATATATGTGTGATATCTGTGGATGTGTTAACCAAAGCCCTATTGGAGCTGGATTAGTTTTACCAGAGGAGGTCCGGTAATGTAATTTGTGTGTGATTTGACTCATGTGGATTAAAGATCTGCATAATTTCCCAAATTACCTAAAATAGCCAGGATCAAAACATCACTGCATGGACATTTATGTCTGTATTATTCAACATTTCTGAACAATAACAACATGCTGTGCAGCTAAATGGCATATAGACTACACACTTAAAATGGTTCTTCAAGGGTTCTTTAGTAAAGAAAATGGTTCTATATAGAACCATGAACACGCAAACAACCCTTTGCATGGTTAAAGGGTTCTTTGCAGCATGAAAGCGTTCTTCAGATTGATGGAAATGTGCTGTAGATGGTTCTATATATCACCAAAAGGGGTTCTTCTACTGTTACAAGCTTGACATCGAACATTAGCAGAACTCTTTTTGGTGCTATATAGAACCATCTACAGCACATTCTCCATCAATCTGAAGCACCTTTTAACATTCAAAAAACCCTTTAATCATGCAAAGGGTTATCTGAGTGTTCATGGTTCAATATAAAAACGTTGTCTTTACCAAAGAACGAGTGTAAGAGTGTAAGATTAGGCTAGTAAAGTGGGTTCATTCAATTCAATTCAAATGCCACATAATAAGACAGAAAACTCATTGCCTAGTAAGAGGTACTTTCATTGTCCTTGTAATTTAGCAATTA